GAGCGTCGGAAAGAGAGATGGGATAATATAAGCGACACGGACGACATGCTTAAAATTCAATCTCTCCTATCCCTGGTTATCAGCTACCGATCCGGTACCCAAAAACTCTTGATACCAATCCAAAATTGAATCTTCATTTCTAACCCCAAAAAAACCTCTTCTCGATGTTCTCCAATCTCCTCAAACCCCCTACCCCTCCTACCCCTCCACCCTTCTTCCGGGAGACTTGTCAACTACTTCACCAAGAAAATAGCCGACATACGCTCCTCCTTCTCAAACCCACTTCCTACTTCTCGCGTGCCACCGACCTCACCTCTTTCGCCTCACTTTCCTCTTTCACCGCCCTCTCTCCTAACCAAATTCTTACCCTAGTAACCTCTGCCCGTCCGACCACCTGCCCTCTTGACCCCATTCCATCACATCTTTTAGAATCTATCGCACCTGACCTTCTTCCGTTCCTCACCTGTCTCATCAACAACGCTCTGTTATCTGGCTGTTTTCCCAATTCTCTGAAGGAGGCAAGAGTCAACCCCGTCCTGAAGAAACCCACCCTCAACCCTTCTGAAGAAAACAACTACAGACCGGTCTCTCTTCTTCCCTTTTTGTCCAAAACCCTTGAACGTGCTATCTTTAATCAACTCTCCTCTTATCTCCACTGTAACAACCTCCTTGACCCCCACCAGTCAGGTTTCAAGGCAGGCCACTCCACAGAGACTGCTCTCCTTGCTGTCTCAGAGCAACTCCACACTGCTAGAGCCGCCTCTCTCTCCTCTGTCCTCATCCTTCTGGACCTCTCTGCTGCATTTGACACGGTCAACCACCTGATCCTTATTTCCTCCCTTCAGGAACTTGGTGTCTCAGGCTCTGCTCTCTCCCTTCTCTCGTCCTACCTCGACGGCCGCACCTACCGGGTAACCTGGCGAGGATCTGTGTCGGAACCTTGTTCTCTTACTACTGGAGTTCCTCAGGGTTCCGTGCTGGGTCCCCTCCTGTTCTCGCTTTAAACCAACTCTCTTGGCCCTGTCATTCGCTCGCATGGCTTCTCCTACCACAGCTATGCCGATGACACCCAACTAATACTCTCCTTCCCTCACTCGGACACGCAGGTGGCGGCTCGGATCTCTGCCTGTCTAACTGACATCTCTCAGTGGATGTCCGCCCACCATCTGAAAATCAACCCCGACAAGACTGAACTACTTCTCTTTCCCGGAAAAGATCCACTTACCCAGGACCTGACAGTCAACTTTTGGAAACTCTGTACTAACCGCCCACTTTGACCGCTAAGAACCTCGGCGTCACACTCGACAGCCAATTCTCCGACTCCTAGATACCGCGAAAACGGGATCCTGTAGATACACGCTCTACAACATCAGGAGAATACGTCCCCTTCTCACTCAGAAGGCAGCGCAGGTACTGATTCAGGCTCTTGTCATCTCTCGCCTGGACTACTGCAACTCCCTCCTGGCTGGTCTCCCTGCCACCGCCATTCGACCTCTACAGCTCATCCAGAATGCAGCAGCTCGACTGGTCTTCAACCTTCCGAAATTCTCCCACACTACTCCGCTCTCTTCACTGGTACCGGTTGCTGCCCGCATCCAGTTGAAAACATTGGTGCTCATGTACCATGCTGTGAATGGATCGGGTCCAGCGTACATCCAGGACATGGTCAAACCCTACATCCCAACCCGCACTCTCCGCTCTGCATCTGCAAAACTACTCGTCCCTCCCTCACTGAGAGCAAAACACTCGACTAGATCTCGACTCTTCGCTGTCCTTGCTCCGAAATGGTGGAACGAGCTCTCTGAAGACACCAGGACCGCAGAGAGCCGCAAACTAAAGACACACCTCTTCAGACTCTACCTCGACTAAAGACTAACAAATTGTAGCACTTGAATTGTACTTGTCACTCATCTATAGCAAATTGTAAATTGGCTTATTTGAGGAAATTGCACTTTCTTGTTTCTTGTTCTCCTGAGTTTGTACCCTATGGTTGAATGCACTTATTGTGCGTCACTTTGGATAAAAGCGTCCGCTAAATGACATGTAATGTTGAAATGATGGCGCGCAGCTCCAGTTGTTGAAAGCAGCACAGAAACATGACGTAAAGCGAGAAGGTGGATGGAGGTCGTTGGGGGGGTGAAGTGTGAGGTCGGCCCGTTCGCTGCCTCCTGGGTGAAAGTCCTGCGCTGCTTTCATGTTCAGTTGGTTCCTTTTTGTGTCAAATTGTGTTTTCTACAATGTTTCATCACTAACGTAAAACACACTTCTGGATGAAACTGCATCTTGTTTCCCATCAACAAGAAAAAAAGAGACACTCCCAAACACGGCAGCAACGTTTAACACGGGGAACCAATATTTTAATATCATTTTCAAATTTAGATATGAAAGAAACACTTTTTCCACCCAAATGTGGCCTGCAGGTGTTTCACTGGAATGAAATAAAACATTGTAATAAAACGGGCAGCTTTGGCTTCTGTGATACAATTCTCCATTAAGGTGCCACTCAAACGCATAGAAATAAAAAGAAAAGGAAGGTGCGTTTGGTTTGTAATCAGTCGGTGCAGAAGGTCGCACTCTGGTTCTTCACAGCTTCTGGTCCTCAGTGCCTTGAAGGAACTTCTGGAGATCTTAGTTTGTCTGAGACGTCTAAGAAAGAGACACCCGGGACACCCTGTCCCGAGAGCGTCAACCGGGCTGATTGAGCTTCACAATCAAGTTTTAAATCAGTTAGAAACGTCTTTCTCCGCTGAAGGAGCTTCAACAAGTGCCGGACTCTGAGGGGACATTTTTTTTCTTTCTTTTTTGTGTGGAAAAACCTCAGTAAGAAAACTAGAATCTGTTAAAACAACCAGAAACAATATACCCAAATATATGTTTACAATATATTTTGTACATTTATACGGGCTCTTAAAAGAAGAAGCACGGCCGCACACTTTGTTCAGAGTGGCGTCATCTCTTCACATGGTGGAAAAGTGACTCGCCAACCTCGTTGCCGCCAGAGACGACCTCATAATGAGCACTGAGTTTTTAAATTAAATAAACACATTTTTGTTCCTCTTCCTACAAAAGCGCCAGGCGGCGACACGTTGGAGCGAGCGGACGCACGCAGCGCGCCGCTCAGGCCACGCGTGTCCTCGAGCGTCGACTCGCCCACTTTGTGCTACCGACGTGTTGCAGCGTGTTAAAAGGTCAAACTTGTTTTCCCCCCAACGCACGTCTTCCAATAGTCGTCCCTGGGCGCGAGTCCGATACCCGATCACGACTCCTCCCGGACCCTCAGCAGCGACTTCAGGTGGACGCTCATCTGCTCGCGGCGGTCGTTCCGTGGGGGCTCGTCCTCGCCAACCCAGTGGCTGGGCGGTTTGGGTAAGACGCTCGGAGACGGCGGCTCGCTGAACTTCGCCCCGGCGTAGACCTTCTCGCCGTCTTTGAGGCCCTCGTCTGCGGCGGCGTCCGGCCCGCGCTGGTGGAGGGGGAGGGGCTTGCCCGGGCTGCTCTTGTCCTTCTTCTTGGCGGGTCGAGCCGCTCCGGGGCTTCGGCCCTGCTTGGGCTTGTGGCTGCGGGGGGTCGCGTTCGGGGGGATTTGGTCTCCTGGCTGCGCGGCTCCTCGCTCCGGTCGGCCGCCTTTGGATCTCAGCAGCTAAGAAACGCAGACAAACGCTCATCAATCCAGCGGTCAGAAAAACATCGGCACTATTAAGGCGTAATTTGGTCATTGCACCATCTCCATGACAACGGAGCAACACACATTCACAGATGAAGACAGAGTTGGTCGACCAATAGAACGTTAAGAACGTCCCAAAACAAAACAAAATGAATGAATATTTTTTGTACTTTTCTTCATGCCGAATGACTTAATATTCGCGGTGCAGCTTTTAAGTGATTGTAAGTGGAGAAACAGATGAAAATCAACTAAATCGATTGGTTCAGCGTCGGCGGACGACGAGTATCTTTGGCAGAAGACAACACTGTTGTGACCCTTAAAGTCCAGTCCTAAACTGATCAAGTGTCCGAAGTCTTCTTTCAAATGAAGGAGAATGTTTCAGAGAGCAGAGCCGATGTTACATCTGCTAAATACTGTGAGCTGGAACAAGTAAACGGTCGTTGCTGTAGTTTAGTACTTTGTATTTCAGTTTAAAAGGAGGACAGCGTACGCTGGCTGTGTGGAAGCTTCCTTATTTTGGGACCATAACAACATATAATCAAATTTCAGCCACATTAACCCTCCTGCAGCCCTTTTTAATATGAAATTATATTCCAGTAAAAACTATTAATTTACACTCGCTCACAAAACGTGTATTATAGAAGGAAATGCAGTAAAACTGCTACATTAACAAAGACAAAGTGTTATGAGCCCTGCAGACAGAAAGAGGAAGAAGATCAACGCTTTCCATCCAAGGATGAGTAACTGCGTCACGTCCTCTGCAGCAGGAGGAAACCCCCCCTTTGCTTCAACAGCATAGAACTTTAAATACAAGATCATTCTAAGAATGTAAATACGTTTGTAACACAAGTAGCTTTAATACATGCTTATTTCTGCGTACTTATTTATGGAACAACACACGGAATACAGTGAAAGGAGTGATGTGGATTTATTTAGACCAAGATAAACTAAAAGTCATCAATGATCGATCTAACTCATGAATCATGAGTTACAAAGTAACAACAACAACAACAACCACAACCACAACAACAACGGGGGCACGTCACCTCTTTTTTAGCTCCGTGCTTGAGCTGATGGAGGTTCTGTGTACCGAGAGGCTGCTCGGTACCGGGCTGGCCTGCGGGTTTGTTAGCCGACAGAGCTGCCAGAGTGTTGATGTGGTGGTGGTTGTTGTTGGTGGTGTTGTTGTTGTTGTTGTTGTGGTCGGACAGCCGGACGCTGGGGCCGTTTCTCGGAGGCTTCTGGTGATGCAGCGGCGCCGTCGTCCGCAGCTTCCTCCCTCGTTTCTTCAGCCGCGCCTGCCGCGTCTTGTTGCCCGCGGTCGGCCCATCGCCGCCGCCCGAGATCACCGATATCGGGTTGTTGTTTTCGACGTTGCCCGACTGTGCTTCATCGCAGCGAGCCGGAGATCCGTCCAACATTTCTTCGCGCTGGCGAAGACATAAACACCCGCGGGGAAACTCTTCCGCGGCTAATTCGGTTTAGCTAACAACGGCACGAGCTAACGGTTAGCGTTAGCTAGCTACGCTGCTCCTCCGCGGCCGGATGAAACGTATTTAAAGAATATAACGTTATATTGTTGTCTCAGACGTTTACAGGGGACCACTTAAGGAATATCAATTATTTCAAATAATTTATCCTGCTAAAAACGGTAACGTCCTTAACCCCGAGACGGCGTCAGTACCAATGAGGTTTTAAGGAGAAGTAGCCTTCCTTATCAGAGACGTTAAGCTAGCCTGCGCGTAACATACAACTTCCGGTTGTGTATTTCAAAATAAAGCGTAATGAATACAGCTATTTTAAAATATAAGATACACAAATATATCGGTACAAACACAGAAAATACGAGTACCTCTTTTGTGCCGAACTGCTCTACTCTCTTCACTGCAACCTTCAACTCTCAACCTTTATTCTGTGGAAAAACTCCTCTAACTTCCAATAGCATTCCAATTACGTCATTAATGCTGCGCTTCCGGAAACGATTACCGTAAGGGGCGTTTCTGATAACTTGTCAGTGACGTCTAACCTTTTCTTTTGAATGAGAAATGTAGATTTACAGTTTTTTAAAGGAAATATTTGTATTAATAATAAATAGATTAAATCAATTCAGCTCCCAGTCTGCACAAAACACTTTATGGTTCTATTATCTGTAATAAAACTAAAAGCTCGGAATGAGCTGTGAATGTAAGACATACTTAAATGCTTTGAGTCAATTTTATTTCATGTGAGAAAAGCATTTGTTTGTCAAGAATATATATGTACATTTAAAAAATATATTTTTTTCCCACATAGATTGTTTTCCTGCTTCATGATGCAATGCATTGGTTCTTTACATTGCTATAAAATGAATAGTTTTATAATAATAAAAATGGCACGTTGAATTTGTGGTCAAACAAAACAACCAATTTGAAGACTTCCAGCCTCTGGGACCCGAATTATTATATTGACTAAAGCATTGCCTCATCATAACTGATGGGTACTGCTGCTGATAATGATTTGTAATGAAATGAACACTGAACACCGGTTTGTTATCACACAGTTTTACTGTAGAAAATGTGACACACAGCTGAAGCTCTTCTTCATAACATTCAGAGAAATGAATGCTACGTCTCCGCCTCCTCCCTCTTTTAGACAAACACTTACAATATGTTTTGGTACATCTTTTAAAAGCACAAAAGTCTGAGGAAATTATACATAACTATTTGGCAAAGAGAACCGAGAAACCGAAAGGCAGATTTGAAACTTGTTAAAGGTTTGTATCGGTACAAAAAATACACATTTAAACAATATCCAAACTCAGCAGAACACATCTAAATATCCATCTCTGTGTTCGCGGTACACATCGCGTGTCGCCATTAACCGTAGAAGACGAATCAACGCGCTGGGGGGGGCGGGTACTGGAGGAGCTGGAGGCGGAGTCACGGCTCAGGGCTGGGCTTCAGCTTCGGCCTCATCTTCGGCCTCGGCAGGTTGGTCGTAGATGTAGCTGCCCACACCTCCAGTGTTCACACCTGAGGGGGGGGGGGGGGGGGAGCGCAGACGTCACCCTTAAAGGGCCAGTTCACACAAACAGCAACAATTCTCTGCCTTCAGGAGAGTTATTGTTGTTAAAAAAAAAAAAAGACTGAAGGGACCGCTGCCCCTTGTTTTCTTTTAATCTGGGGTTAATCTCCCCCCCCCCCCCCCCTTTCCCCACCTGTCCCAAGCGGCCACACATCATATGGAATGTTGTGCCGAAAGAGAGGCTGCACACACCGGATGAGGCAGTACGGCTGTCCGTCGTGCTGCAACGAAAAAGAAAATCCCTCTGAAACTCTGAAACCCCCCCCCCGATGGAACAAACGCCGAGGGCCTCGCGAGCACCGGCACACGCACACAGTTGATTCGCTCACCTCCGCGTGGCTGCCGGCAGCCAGAGTCTTGCTGCACCTCTCGCAGCGCAGGCAGGGCCGGTGCCAGTTCTTCCCCAGAGACGTCACCTTCTCAGCTGCACACACACACACGGGATGGGGAGACGGTTACCATGGAAACCAGCCGCTTTAGTCGCTGAGACACATTCCAGCACCGGCTTGCTTACCGAAGTAAACCGTCTTGTTGCATCTGGGGCAGATGTTGGGTCCTCCGGAGAACGAGGAGAAGCTGGCAGCTGAGGGAGTCACGTTGAAACGGAGTAATGCGTTATTTTTATTTACCAACAAACACCATCTCTCTATTTGCATTTCTCTGTTTAGTCCCCCCCCCCTCCTTAAACACGGGCAGCATCTCCATCATCTCTCACCCTTCACCGGTCCCCGGGCGGGAGCTTTTTTCTCCTCCGCCGGCTTGCTGTCCGTCTCCATGGAAACAGCGGCAGGGGCTTCGTTGGCGGCGGGGTCGGCGTACACGTAGGAGCCGGCTCCGCCGATGTTCACGCCTGCGAGGCAACAAAACGTGCCAATTCAAATAAAAAAGATTTAAAAAATGACCCGTCGCAGAGTTCGGACAAACGCTTTCTTTGATTTTTTTTTAGTTTGAACCGAAAAGAAGGAGAAGCGTCACCTTTGGGGCCGAAGAGGGCGGCGTAGCAGGGCTTGTGGCAGTACGGCGTCCCGTCGTGCTGCCAGGAGAGAGAGAGAGAGAGAGAGAGCAGACAGTGGAAAGGTTTAGTTTGTCAACTTTCTTTAAGTTAAGTCTGTTTGGATTGTCGTGATACCAGATAATAAATCAACAAGGACTTATTCACAGATGTTTACAGGACCCGTCTGCTCTCTGTTACTAAAGACCAAAGGTCTGTTCAACCTCATGTCTTCATTCTCTTCACTCTTTTTGATGACTGCGTTCATTTAAAGCAGAGACTGCTGTGTCTTTTCCTCGGTTTGACCTTCATCAGACGTAACATTTGTTACTGTTATTGCTTGTTATATTCTTCTGACTACTGGGAGTGTTTTAGTCTTAAAACTCTTCAATTCTTATTGCTGTAAAAAAAAAAGTTTTTGTTCACAGAAAATGTTGTTTTTAGCTCCACTCTCTTTTCTGGCTACAAAAAGCACGCTGGCGCCTGCAAAAAATGCCAAAGTTGATGCTTCAAAGCTTCAGTCCACAAACCGACTTCTTAGAATCAGCGCTTCCTCTTTAAAAGCTGATGTTCAGACCGTAAAGCCACAGAAACATCGTAGTTGTGAATATCAGTTAAGTTGCTACGCTCAGCGACTGAAATAATTACTAAAGAACCAAAGGCGATTAAAACAATGTCGCCTTCATGTGAACAAACTGCACTAAGTGAAGAGACGCTCCTGAGAAGAAGAAGCGGTTGGACCCTTAAACTGGGGTAGAAACCTGTGACCTCAGAGAGGCCTGGAGGGGAAGTGTGTGGTCTCCTGGCGGTCAGAGGGCCTCGGCCACGTTCTGGTGGTTAGAAGGTTGTAGAGTAACTGTCCATGACCACAAGAGAACCTCCACCTTCCTGCTGACGCAATCTTCTCTTCGTTGAAAGAAGAAATCAGCTCCGTTCCTGCTGTGGTCTCAATAGACAATAGTTTCACTATAAAATGATCACGATGCTTCTGCAGACAGATGTTTCTGTTAATCACTATTCTACAGGATCAATTCTGAAGTAAACTGAAACCTTTAAAGAGCAGCTTTGGTGCCAGAACTTAGAAGGAGACTTCTGCTCGAGCCACAAAAAGACAGGATCCAGCACTGAGGTCCTTTCCATGATGCTGTCAAATTGTCAAACTGCACCAATGGAAGAACTGTTAACTGTTAAAGGTCCCACATGTGACCTGGTTGCGTCTCCTCTCACCTCGGCGTGGCCTCCTGGGTTCAGCGTCTTGTTGCAGCGTTCACACTTCAGACAGAACTTGTGCCAGTCTTTCCCCAACGACGACACCTTCTCCGCTGTGGAGGAAGAACACGAGGGATTCAGCACCGACTTCCATGCTGGCGTTCATCAGACATCCAGCCCCTCCGCAAGCAGAACAAGAAGGTGACGAAGACAGAAGCACGCTCTCTCCTGGTGCTACGGAACATTCCGTCATTCACAACACGGACTCTGACATTTGTTGCAGAGATAAAGGACTTCAGCCGCCGTAAACACGCTCACAGCGTCAACAAAGCGAGCGACACTCCCAGAATATCTCGGCAGAGACACTGATACGACGTGACACTTGCTGCTCAGACTCACCGGGCAGCCTGTCGCTGCCATGCGCGACAATAAGTCACTCGGCACACAGCGAGCACGCGGCTCTGACGACGGAGGACGTGTGTGTGTGTGTGTGTGTGTGTGTGTGTAAGTGAGCGTGTCTCTATGAAGACATCACCTACAAACTGTAACGCATCATTTCTGGTCACCTGTGGTCACCTGACAGCTGCGCACTTCTCTCATGCAGCATCTACCGCCGGCGTCGCCATGGAAACACGTCCCACTCGAGGTAAACACAGTCAGCTCTGTCGCTGTTGTTCATGCGCGTTAGCGCTGTTAGCAGCTAGCCCGCTGGTCGCCAGGTTGAGATTTATTGGAAACCGAAATGCTCCGATCACGTATTATTGAGATAACGTTACTTCATGTATGCATTTAATGAAAAACTGTGTAAACATTTATATTACTGCCTTGTCCCGCCTCCCCTCAGCTTGATTTTTTTTTTTTTTATTAATCTAATTTTCATTACCTTTCAAAGGTTTTTTTTACCTTTTCTGTGCAGGGTTTGTGTATTTCCTATCTTGTAATTCATCTTTTGGTTTTCACATTTTCCCTTATTATACCAATGATGTCGCAAAAACACCTTGATAAATATTGAAAAACTTGGAGCTCAAATTCCAGAATTAGGCCCAAATGTCTGAGCTTTTAGTGTATGAAACGCTTCTCCCCCACCATATATATATATATATATATATATATATATATATATATATTCCACCAACGGCTCCTGGCAGCGGAAACATGTGTGAGCATCTCAACAGAAGGAAGAGGGGAGCAGGAGGTCGTCGCTGCAGGGCGTCGTTATTGCTTCTTCAGAAGAAAGAAGATGACAGAACAAAAAGAAAATCGATCCACGTGACGCATGAGCGATGGGTAAATTATTTACAACGCCATGTGGTGTAAAGCTGCAAACGATGAGAGGCTGCAAACGGATGTTTGGGCTCTGAACTCACTGCCGAGTGAGATGAGGCTGCTCTCACGTCTGAGAGGAAGAAAAGGTCATTTAAAGCCGGTCATTTGTCAGAAGCTGTCAACTAACACAGGAGGGCGGACGGCTCTTATCTGAAGATAGTGAAGCATTTATAGCCCATCAGTCAGTGTGAGACTCACCAGCTGAGGCATTCGGGGACATTTTTGAGACAAACTGTCGTATTGAGGCGGATCGAAGCAGCGCAGACCAGCTTTCAGATAATTACAATAAAAGGGTTATAAAATAGGATGTTTGGTCCTTGTTTTAACTGTTATCTTATATCTGATATCCAATGGAGACAGACATCGCGCTGCTGGCAGCATAAACGCACAAATAACTTTAAATCACCAACAGGAAAAGTACTCAAACTTATAAACAAATAGTACTGTATTTAAATTATTTCTCATGGAATTGTATGTACTGCAATATGATGACGTCACTACCTAGTGAACACACAGTGGCAGTTTTTATCCACACGATAATAACTTGTATTTAAAATATGTCCCCCTGTCCCTTTGAATTCTTCAGTCGACGTGGGTGTGACGTCACCATATTCCCGTTCTCCGCGGAGCCGCACCTGTAAAACAAACCGCTGCGCGTTCTGACTTCAACGACGGGTTTTGAGGTAAGAATTACGTCACACACGCTACTCATGTGACGACGATATATCGCGTGAAATCTTCCATCAGCTCCATCCCCGCTGGTTAACACATCTCCCTCATAGCGGCGGCGCTGCGTCGAAGCGCGCAGAATAAAGCTCGCGACGCGGGTGGATGAGACGCACTCACCGAAGTACACCGTCTTGTCGCATTTGGGACATTTTGACGCCATGTTCCGCGTGAACGAAGACAAAGAGTCCTTTTCTGTCCGTCTCCTCAGAGGATGGTGATGGAGGCAGAGTACCGACGCTCACATCCTCCCGTTGGCTCGTCCGCCACTCCTTTGCATAGGCCCCGCCCCCAGGATGACATCACGCCTTTCCTCCAGCACGGATATCAAATCGCCCACGTTCATTTATTTTGGATAAATTAGTTGTTTGCTTCCCTGGATAATAATACACAGATAATAATACATGAACACCGAATTTTTGTTATTATTATTATCATTCTAATTATGGACTAATTCCATATAAATGCACAGAAAGAAACATTATTGCATTATTGCAGTAATGCAATAGTTCAAGCCAACACAATATTAGAACGTTGCACCATAAAAACATGTTATAATAAGAAGGGACTAATATGGACTTCCTGGAACACAGCCGATCCACATGGTCCGCTCTGATGGTACGTTAGGTGTTTTATCCTAAATCCTAGCAATGCCCCCCCCCCCCCCCCCCCCACAATCCATCAGTGTCATCAGCTGTGTTTGTGTCCTCCGTGTGGTTGTTAGGCGACGCTGAATGTTAAGTGATGTCTGCAGCTCCGAGGAGAGCTGCTCTGCACATTCTTGGCACCGAGATACCAGGAGGAGTCCCTTCGTCTGGACTTCAAATTTAAATATAGGTCGTTTTTCATATTCAAAAGAAAATGCACTTTTGTCAGTGTATACCTTAAGAAATAAATGCTACATATTTCCCCTTTTCCGAATGTTTAACTAAACTAAACATTGTTTTCAGTCAGGTCGCAGTTCACAAGCCAATGTGATGTTTCAAGTTTTAGTTTTTGTGATGGAAAAGCAGCTATATTTCCAAATTCTCATCATCAACATCATCATCTCAACATCAAGGATTCCCGCTGTGCAGGTCAGGTTGAGCTGATTTTACGTTGATGGAACTCAGCAGGGGAGTCAGACGTCTAAACCAAGACAGCTAATTGTATCACTCCTTTAAACCTTTGGAAAGGCCACCTGATCCACTCCTTCCTTTTTACCTTTCACAATAAATCAACTACGTAAACCCCCCCGAATAACGATGCATAGTCGCATGCAATATTTCACGTCTTCATGGGGGGGGGCATGCTGCTTTGTGAATAAGGTTTTGCTTCGGGTTTATATGACCCGCTGTGATGACGGCATGAATAAATGCAGTAACAGCAGCGCAGCGGCGTGAGTGTGGAGAACAGAACTGGCTTTTGGCTGCAGACATTTAGGAGACTTAGAAAGCTTTAAACGATGGAAACGCGTTGACCTCCACTGAACTGTTTGTGACGCGCATCTTAGGACCGTGAGTCATAAAGTAATTGTTTTGTACACAGATATCAGCATTCTATCGTATAGCGACTTGTGTGCTTTCGATTTCTTTCGATTTGTTGAGGCGGTCAAATCTTGACAGGCTTCTAAACTCTGCCTTCGTTGTCGAACATACGCCATCACTGCAATCTGTAGGCTCGATCCGCGTCAAAAAGACTCTTGGACGAGTGTGAAGAAGAAGACGTTGAGCCGTGGATGTCCTCTGTCTTCTCTAAGTGCCTCCGGGTCAGACGAGTGGACGCCGTCTTCCTAAACGAGATGAACCAACATAAACAGATTCAGCAGAGATGGAAACAGCGGCGGTTCTCTTTGCGCGTAGTGCCCTTGGGCTTCGGCCATCTGGGGCCTGGGAATGCACTAATCCTAAAATAAACACATGCAGGTCGTGCCTCTGCGCAGCTTTGTCCCAGACGTCCCCACGTCTCGAAGTTTGGGGCTCGGGACGTCCAACCCGACACGCCTTCCCCTCAACATTAGTTCGTCCGTTGATTTTGAGCAAAGATAGGGGAGGTCAAGACAACTGTAAATATGTCTCATTCTCATCTCATTCCTCTGCGCCATGAAGCTCCATTGTTGTCAATGAGTCATGTGACCCGGGAATATTATTCTGGAAATTTGCTCACAGTAAAACACAACAACAACAATTCACACTTCAATATACTGCGTTTTAGATTTGGCATAGAACGACGGTGTGTTGCAGAAATAAAGCAACTAGAACTAGAAAGAGACTGTTCGGACCCTCTGACATCACCTCATCCAGTTGTTTTGGGTTCTGTTACTGAGGAACTGAAGTGATTAATGTGAATACACGAGTGTGATGCATGCACTAGTGTTGCATCACTTCCTCTCAGGTGTGCTGGCAGTGACACGTCTGTAGAACCACAAACTCAGGTAGTATCTGCAGGTGCATTTACTCCTGGACCGTACTAAAGTACAAATTCACGGTACCTACAATTTAGTCCAAAACACACAGAAAATTGTTTTTGTTTGTTTTAGTGGTATGATTGTTTACTTTGTTGATCCCAAACCAATCAGTAAACAATCAGTATTAATTATTTATGGGCTTAAATAGTAATTTGTACTAACATGTCATTTACACTCCCATTATCATTTAAAGTGTTGATAATACAATACAAAAAAAGACCCAAAATGATACCACGGAGATCCAGAGGAAGCTGTGGTGGAGGATGAGTTTGACCTTTCACCTCTGTGTCCGTGCTGTCAAACATCAGCATAAATATGTTTTCTGAGTAACACCATCTGAAGAAAACAAGCTGCTTTGCTGCAAACATTTACATCTTCAGCAGCAGTCTGCACACCGTTTACACCAAGAAGACGTGTGGTGTTCCCCAAGGTTCAATTCTGGAGCCTCTTCTGTTCCACCAGGTCAGCTTACTTTAGGAAACAAGGTGTGTTACACTGAACATAACGGGCCCTTGACAAATGCATCATGGGAAAGGACTCTTGAACTTGAGACTCAGCGTCTTAGTTCAGTTTGTTTGTTGCTCCATCAGATCAGATCATAGAATGCAGAAAAATGTAACTTTGAGTTCTGAGAGTTACATTACATTACATGTCATTTAGCTGACGCTTTTATCCAAAGCGACGTACAATAAGTGCATTCAGCCATAGGGTACAAACTCAGAAGAACAAGAAACAAGAAAGTGCAATTTCCTCAAATAAGCCAATTTACAATTTGCTATAGATGAGTGACGTTACAAGTACAATTTAAGTAATACAATTTGTTAGTCTTTAGTTGAGGTGGAGTCTGAGTTGAGTCTAACACAACTGAATGAGAAGAAACAGTTTTAAAAAAGAAACAAGTGACGTATGAGAGACGAGAGGGACGAGGAAGTGACTCTTTATCAACAAGAGGAAGTAGATTCATCATTTGTCTTTAAGACGGAAGAAGCAGAGAGACGAGAGACGGAGAGGAACCATGGCTGAATTCAGAGGGATTCAAACCTCTTTGTTCCTGATTCTGATGCTTCAGTTTACAGGTAAGAACACATAGAATGTGTGTATGACTACAGAAACACTAGAAAGATCCTTTACTAATATATTCATGTTATTTATGAGCAAAGCTTCATTTAAAGACGACACACAAGTCGTCTGTTTGTTTCCATCCAGGTGAATCGTGAGTTTAATGAACTCACCCAACAATGAGGCACATTTGTAAACTGTTGTTGTGTCTAAAATGATCTTCACACTGACACTAAAAGTCATGTTTTATTTCTCCTTGTTCCTTTTACTTCTCTCTCATCTTCTTAGAAGCAGCAACAGAACAACGTCTCACTGTCAGAGATGGAGATGAAGTCACTTTGCCTTGTAACAGTGTGACTGAGGACCAGAACAACTGTGACTCTACCGAGTGGTACTTCTATCATTCAGGAAACAGATCAACAAATTATCTGGTTACAAAAGGGCAGATTGATGATGAAGCCAAAGCTGAATCAGACAGACTGAGTGTTTCACAGAACTGTTCTCTGGTTATGAAGAAGGTCACACGTGGAGATGTTGGTCTTTATGTCTGCAGACAGGTCAGACCAGGAGGACATGAAGATGCTAAGGTTCATCTGTCTGTTGTTTCCAGTGAGTATTTACATCATAATGTTTATAAACATTTAGATTAATATAAAACATTTTAATAATAATGATTTTCGTATTTAAGTTCCTCTTCTTTCTCTCATAATGTCTCCGTCTCCACCAGTGACTGAAGAGACGAACAGAGACGAGGTGACGTTAAACTGCTCTGTGTGGACGTATGAAGGATGTAAACACACAGTGAAGTGGATGAATGGTGGTCAAGATGTGGACAAAGACAAAGAAGTGAAGACATCACCGTCTCTCTGCTCCGCCTCTCTGTCCTTCATGACTTCTCACTTCTTTTACACATCAAGCTTCACTTCATTGAAGTGTGAAGTGACCGATGGAGACAAAGTGATGCAGTTTCCTCTCAGGAATTCTCCCCCATGTGATATAACAGGTGAAAATATTCTGAAGTCACTTAAATTCTGTTTTTAATTGAATGTTTTATTTATTTAGTTGTGTTGTTTTCATTTTTCAGGTGAACACACAACAACAACAACAACTGAAGAGGACACAAAAGCAGGTGACACAACTTCAGCAATCAGAGAAGCTTCAGCAGAACCACAACGTAGAGACTCTACTTTTTTTATTTAAACTCTTTTTAAACTGTAGTTTAAGACTTGAATGTTCATAAATGTCTTTTTAGAGCGTTTCTAGTGAGTTTTACCAAACATGTAGGTTTTTTATGTAACTAAATATGAGTAAAGTTGATATTTAAGTCTACTAAATGCACATAAATATGTGTGTGCTTGATTGTCGTTGCAGGCGGGTGGAGGCTCGTCTCTGTGTCCGTTGGATTAGCAGCACTCATAATAATAGTTGTAGTCGTCAACATGTGGATTAGAATTAAAGGTGAAGAAGCTGAAGACATTTTGATGAGAGACGTCTTTTGCTGGTGAAACTAAAGCGACTCTTTCTTTTGTCTCCAGAGAGGAAAACACAGACGGAAGAAAACGCTGTGAGTCTTTAACAAGTTAACAATGAAACGCTTCATCGCTTCATGACGTTCTTATCTGCAGTATTTCTTCACTCCATCACGAGTCGCTTTAGAGCTTCTAGCAGCTAACGGTGCTAACGGCCCACCAATGCTAGCAGAGCTAACACTTAGCGACTGAGCTCACAGTGTCCACATGAGGGGGAACCGCAAGGTGGATGCTACATGGAGGGTGGAGCACGTCAGAGAGGTGGGGGTGTAAAGTGTGGCTTTGATTGTGTTGTTTCTCACAGGTGCGTTATGATGCAGAAGATGACACAGTGAACTATGAAAACATGAGACCTGCTGCTGGAGTTTGAGCAACACGTCTGCAGATCAGATTCATTCAGCATTCACATGTTTGTTGGGATGTGTTTGTGTTTCAGTAACTTGTCTTTATAACATGTGATAACAATAAATAAAGAGCGTCATGCTACACTGTGCTGTGTGATTCCTCCATGTAGTAAGAGCTTCATGGTGGTCATTGAATGTCCTCCCTCTTCTGGTCTGCAGCCTCCCTCCTCTGGTCCACTTGTGGTAGTGAACCTCTCCTCTGATTGGTTGAACAGCTCTGTTCTCACTGAGCACTCACATGTTCACAAAGTCACCTGATAACGCACAGAAATATCAACACACTTCTGCAAAGGCAACAACACCTAAATGTAAAAATACTCCACTACAAGTAAAAGTCATGCATCAAAAAGACACGTGGTGTTCCCCAAGGTTCAATTCTGGGGCCTTTTCTCTTCAACGTTTTACTTCTAATACCTCGAATTATGGACATGTTATTATTATTGGTGAAATCATATTTATGCAAACGTCACACAAATCTACGCAACTATATCAGCAGGAGATTATAATCCCATAGAAGGGTTTATAAATGCATTTAACAATCAGCCACTGGATGTTTCAGAATGTTCTTCATCTGCTCTGTAAGTTTTGAGTGTGTAACAGTGTATTATCGTTTTTAATCTTTAATGCACTGACTTCGATCACGTTCACAGGAAGTCGGCCATGAAAATAGATCCACCTGATATGTGAACTAAGCCGGCCGAGTCAGAGCAGACAAGCCCTGCTTCTTCCCGCTCTCGCTGTGATCACTGCTTCTAAATGTCCAATTTGACTGAAATGCCTGAAGACCTTTTCATGGACTATTCGTCAACGTTGCACCAAAGGATCTGTTGTTAGACGCATCGCATGTGACCTGGATATAAATCAACAACACAATGATCAGCGCCATGATCCTAAAATGAGGACTTTTACTTAGTGACACAAATGTAAAGATAGTTGGAGACTTCACCGCTCCAACCACAGAAGACAGAAAGCAAAAGAAAACAAGAAGAGTCTTGCTCTGATTAAGAAGTTTGTAAAAAAAAAAGCAACAAGTGACATGTGAGAGAAGAGTGAAACAAGGAAGTGACGCTTTCCTATTTAAAGGAAGTAGATTCAACATTTGTCTGATGCTTGTGTTTACAGGTAAGAACACATAGAATTAGATTGCACGCACTTTGCTGTGTGTAGGTGTTTGTGTGCAGGTAATCAGATCTGATACGGACCTTTGGCTTTATTGTTGAATACGTCTCTTTTGTTTAAAAAGCCTGCGTGTTCCAGCGCATAAGTAACAAGTAGCACCCGAAGACTAATCCTAATCCTCCTCTCACAACGTCTCCGTCTTCACCAGTAACTCAACAGATCAACGAGGACGGGGTGACGGTGAAATGCTTCGTGTTGAGACAAGGACAGTGTGGACACACAGTGAAGTGGCCGCATGAAGGGGACAGAGACACGAAGACATCGCAGTCTTTCTGCTCCGCCACTGCTTCCTTTACAACTTCTTTGTTCACTAGAATGAAGTGTGAGTTGCTGAAGTGTGAAGTGAGTGTTGACGACGCGAGAAGTGAAGCTGTTTCCCTTCGTACCTGCTCAGTCCTCAGGTACCATCAGCTGTTTAAGATGACATCATTCTGTCTCATTCACAAACCAGAGCTCATTTTTTATTCTACTGTTTCTCATTTTTTCCCCAGTTGGAGCAACAACGACAACAAAAACAAAATCAGAAGGTTTGAAACAAAGAAGCTTCCTAGAACTTAGAATAAATCATTATATAATAAATCTAGCAGCTATGGTGTAATTCATCAAGTATTTCCCCAACTTCCAGTAACTCGTAACAAGTGTTTTGAAATCAACGTCCTTCTTCACAGGAAACGTCTGAGTTCGGTTTAGCTGAAGATTCAGTCTGAGTTGAAATAAGTTCAGCTGTGATGTTTGTGTCCTCTGACCTGAGCTCCTCGCCTTCATCACTTGCAGCAAAGAAACATGAAAACCACTGTGTTTACTCGAGTAGAAGAAGAGATTCTTCACCAGCACTAAAGTCATTTTCTCTGAAAATAAAATCTATAATCAAGATTATTTCTGTTGCCTTGAAATTCAACAAGAAGCCAGAATGTCTTTGATGTACTTTAAGCAGATTAAGAGTCTAATGAATCAGCTGAAAGGTCAGAGCATCACAACAGAGTTCATCCTCAGGGGAACATGGATGTCTGAACATGGAGGGCTGCTGTTAACACCGGGGCTTCATCCTCTGGGGACCACGAGTCACTGGACAAGAGTTCAAGGCAACGCATCTCATAGTCGTTGAGACCTTTTCACCCTCGAACTGAACACGATGGCCCTTGTTGGTTCGCTTGTACGTCGGCAACACAAGTGCATCATGGGAAAGGACTCAAAGGGAACGTGAGTCTTAGTGCAGTTTGTTTGTTGCTGCATCAGATCAAAGAACTGAATGCAGAGATGTGACTTTAAGTTAAGCAACAAGTGGCATATGATGAAACAGAAGAACAAGGAAATGACTTTACAATAAAAAGAGGAAGTAGATTCATCATTTGTCTTTAAGACGGAAGAAGCAGAGAGACGAGAGACGGAGAGGAACCATGGCTGAATTCAGAGGGATTCAAACCTCTTTGTTCCTGATTCTGATGCTTCAGTTTACAGGTAAGAACACATAGAATGTGTGTATGACTACAGAAACACTAGAAAGATCCTTTACTAATATATTCATGTTATTTATGAGCAAAGCTTCATTTAAAGACGACACACAAGTCGTCTGTTTGTTTCCATCCAGGTGAATCGTGAGTTTAATGAACTCTTAGAAACCAACAATGAGGCACATTTGTAAACTGTTGTTGTGTCTAAAATGATCTTCACACTGACACTAAAAGTCATGTTTTATTTCTCCTTGTTCCTTTTACTTCTCTCTCATCTTCTTAGAAGCAGCAAGAGAACAACGTCTCACTGTCAGAGATGGAGATGAAGTCACTTTGCCTTGTAACAGTGTGACTGAGGACCAGAACAACTGTGACTCTACTGAGTGGTTCTTCACTTATTTAAGAAGCAGACCACCAGTAGTTCTGGTTACAAATGGGCAGATTGAAGAAGCCAAAGCTGAATCAGACAGACTGAGTGTTTCACAGAACTGTTCTCTGGTTATGAAGAAGGTCACACGTGGAGACGTTGGTCTTTATGTCTGCAGACAGTTCAGACCAGGACGACAATATGAAGATGCTGAGGTTCATCTGTCTGTTGTTTCCAGTGAGTATTTACATCATAATGTTTATAAACTCTTGTATCAGATTAATATGCTGAAACATTATAATAATACATCATGTTATGTTGCCCGTCTACTCTCTGAATTGGGAGATAGGGCCCTGAGTTCTTTACTTAATCCAATTGTGTTCTTATTCCTAATTAACTCTATTATTATTATTCTTGGATCAATGAAGAAACTTAATAACCATATTTTAACAGACTGACAGATAAATGTACCTTTGTGATGGATTTAAGCATTGCAAATAATAAACACACACAGAAACGTCTTAAAATGAAATACCAATGTATCAATTTATTCTAAAACAACGTATTGAAATAAAAACAGGATAATGAATGTATTCTTAACGTTGCGTTACACAATGCAGCATTAGACCAAATAAGTTTTCTTGCACTTTTCATTGTGACTGTGTCACACACATACCCAGTAACAACTTAACTAAGCCGGAAACTTAACCTTTAAAATAACAAACGTTGCGGTGCAGGTTTGATGCTCGGGTTCGCAGAAACCAAAAAGCTTAACGGTCAAAAAACAACATGTGGAGGTCCTCTGTCACCAACCGTCCAGCCCAGGTGGGCCCAATAGGCCGATTGCGATCAACCAATGGATCGCAAAGGCAGTACCAGTCGATCGCGTGCCATCGATAAAAAGGAGATGACAGAAACTAATGCTAATGCTAATTAGCGATCCCTGCTTACTAACGGACGCATTTCATTTCCTTCCAAAGCAGCGCAGGTAGAGTCCAGTAGGGAAATGACCAAGAATGTGCGGGATGCTTGTGACTGTTCCCTCCTTCTGACGGACGAGAGGCTCCTTGTTTTCTTCATATGGATGGAGGGGGACGGGGTCCGGGGGGGGGGGGGGGTAGTAGCTAGGCCCCCCCTTGTCCAGACCACGCCACGGCGGTTAGCTGGGTTAGCTAGCAGGCTAACGTCCGTCCACGATGCTCCTTCAGCCACTCGCTGAATTAACGCGTGACGTCACAACGTGTCAAACTTCGTGTGGGAGTTTTCATAGTACACAAATTATCTTGCTGAGAATTCATACATTATGGAAATATTAAATATTGACCCTTTCCACTTTGACCAAACCCGTTTCCCACCTGTTCTCTCCCTCCTCTCGCCCAGTCATGTGACCACTTGCACCTTTACTGTCAAATCAACTGCTTCTATTAGAAAGGAAACATAAGAAAACACCAATACATTTTTAACTTTCTTACCCATGAACATTTTATCAGACAAATGAAATATGTACTGTAGTTTAACCGTAACTTTATATTTTAACTTAAATGTTTAATTATTTATTGAGTCCAACTATTTATTAACGCTGGATGTAAACATGTTTTTTACATGGGCTACAATAATAATGATTTTAGTACTTAAGTTCCTCTTCTTTCTCTCATAATGTCTCCGTCTCCACCAGTGACTGAAGAGACGAACAGAGACGAGGTGACGTTAAGATGCTCTGTGTGGACGTATGAACGATGTAAACGCACAGTGAAGTGGATGAATGGGGGTCAAGATGTGGACAAAGACAAAGAAGTGAAGACATCACCGTCTCTCTGCTCCGCCTCTCTGTCCTTTAAGACTTCTCACTTCTTTTACACGTCAAGCTTCACTTCATTGAAGTGTGAAGTGACCGATGGAGACAAAGTGATGCAGTTTTCTCCCTCAGGTGATAAAACAGGTGAGAATCAGGTGAAAGTCATTTAAATTAATGTTGTACTCATTTAGTTGAGTTGTGTTCATTTGTTCAGGTGAAGACACGACAGCACCAACTGAAGAGGACACAAAAGCAGGAGACACAACGACAACTTCACCAGAACCACAAAGTGACTCTACATCAACATCAGGGGAGTCAAACTCATTTTCCGTTTGGGTCACATGCTGCTCTCTTTGATCTCAGGTGGGACACACCAGTAAATTCACGGGTCGACGGGGGGGACACGGGACACGGGACACTATCATCTTCTAGCGGCCGCTCCAAGTCACGGCGATCGACCCGAATAACAACAAGAAGGACCAGAAGCAGCGACCACAGGAACAACAGCGCTGAACACAAAAACCACAAGGAGCCTCTCGTGTGTCAGAAGGACGTTAGAAGTTACTCCACACTGTCGTTTCCTCACTGGATGACTGGTGTAACGCCCACAGAGTGCGCCCCCTAGAGGGCTGATTAGCAACAGCAGATACTTTTATAGAAATGCAATATATGTCTCTCTGTAATTCTCAAAATAGCAAAGTCATCCGGCGGCCCGCATTGGACCCCCCCATGCTCTACATGTTTATGTCTTCATGTGGAATCTCTCTTCCTATCAGTCGTTTCATCCCCTCACATTTATTGAATTAATTCCAATTTAAGTTCTCATATATTTTAGAGACAAAATTACGTTTTCCGGTAGTTTAACACATGAATGTGAGTTTTACCAAATATTTAAGTTTTTTATGTAACTAAATATGAGTAAAGTTGATATTTAAGTCTACTAAATGCACATAAATATGTGTGTGATGTCGTTGCAGGCGGGTGGAGGCTCGTCTCTGTGTCCGTTGGATTAGCAGCACTCATAATAATACTTGTAGTCGTCAACATGTGGATTAGAATTAAAGGTGAAGAAGCTGAAGACATTTTGATGAGAGACGTCTTTTGCTGGTGAAACTAAAGCGACTCTTTCTTTTGTCTCCAGAGAGGAAAACACAGACGGAAGAAAACGCTGTGAGTCTTTAACAAGTTAACAATGAAACGCTTCATCACTTCATGACGTTCTTATCTGCAGTATTTCTTCACTCCAACACGAGTCGCTTTAGAGCTTCTAGCAGCTAACGGTGCTAACGGCCCACCAATGCTAGCAGAGCTAACACTTAGCGACTGAGCTCACAGTGTCCACATGAGGGGGAACCGCAGGGTGGATGCTACATGGAGGGTGGAGCACGTCAGAGAGGTGGGGGTGTAAAGTGTGGCTTTGTGTTGTTTCTCACAGGTGCGTTATGATGCAGAAGATGACACAGTGAACTATGAAAACATGAGACCTGCTGGTGGAGTTTGAGCAACACGTCTGCAGATCAGCTCCACCACCATCTTCATGGTGTCCCAGCTGCTGATGTGGAGCCAGATGTTGTCCTTCATTGGGCTGCTGAGGTCCAATATTGATCAATCGTTCTCTGTCATGTCACAGGTCAAACGTGTTGAGAATTCATAAGAAAAAGAAAATATTTGCTTCATTTCTCTGATTATATTTGTTTTGAAAGGGTTTATTATTTTATTTTAGTCTGTTGTCTTTTGCTTTATCAGCTGTAAAAATGTTTCTGCAGCTGCTCACAACACAACAGCTGGATTTTAACTTAACAGGAAACATTATTTAACTCTTAACTTCATTAAGTTGTCTTTCATTTGATTAAGAGGTTTTCTGTTTGTTTATTAAACTCTGGCAACTTGAGTTCAGTTTCATTTCAAACAACTTTTAATTTGCATTTCTGTGAACATATTGTTGTCATGTTCATGTATTTTAGTTTGTTGTTTTCAATGAACATTAAAATCAGTCCAATCCAAAAATACATTGTTTTTGTAAATCATGTAACCATCTTCAAATGGATCTCTGTTATTTTCATATTTCTCTTCATCGTATGAATCTGATCCATGAAGCTGTGAAGCTCCGTGATCCTCGTCTCTGTTCTCACAACTGGCTGAACGTGTGTCTCAATGTGAACTTTCTCTCTGCTGTTTCCTCTCGTCTCTCTGAACTTCAGGTCAAAGGTCGGGCGTCCAATGAGTGTCTCTGCTGTGACGCCTGACTGACGACTGACTCACAAGAAAACAGCTTGTATCTTATGCAAGAAAAGAGTCCTTGCATACCAGTTAATAATGTGTTCTCTGTTGTGCTTTTTATTCACAGTATTGATTGATATCCTCTGTCTCAAGATTGATCGCTTTTAGCTGAAAGTACAAAGCTTAACTGATTTAATTTAAATTTTTAACATTACCGCAACTCACACACATTTAATACACCGGCAACATTTATTGTCACACAATTACAAAGAGCAAAAACAACAGTCCTCTGGATTCAATGGTCTGTAAGATGGTTCTGTACGTTTGTTGGAGTTCAGGTAAATCCTCCTCCAGAAAACAGTGATTGGTACCAACTGTTCCTCTGAGAGCGATATGTAGACTCCCTCATGTCCAGCAGGAGGCGCTATGATCACTGGGACTCCGTCCTGCCTCCCCGTCCCACGCCACGTCTGTAGCAGCAGCAGCTTTAACCCGTTAGCACCTAGCATATTAGCTTGTAGCCTGCTAGCTGCTGATTTCAGACTGTCTTTCTCTGCACTCGCCTCCCTTCCTCGTTCTGATTGGCTCCCTCCATGTGAACACCTGAGCGGCCCAAAGGTCGCGACTGTCACGGGATGTGGGTGGGTGGGTGTTAACCGGGGACACGAGTGGCAGAAAACTACAAAATACAACAGGAAGTGAACCACACCGTGACAGTACCCCCCCCCTCAAGGGCCGACTTCCAGGCGGCTCACACTAGAGCGAAACAAGGGGTGGGGGGGAGGGAAACCCGAGACGTTGGTCGGACCACCCGGGAAACTCTGGCGGGCGGCCCGGCGGGCAGCCAGGGAGCCTCTGGGGGTCGGCCTGGCGGATAGGCACACTGCCGGGGAGCCTCCGGTGGCCGGCTCCGGAACGTCTCTGGAATTGCAGGCTCGGTACACGGGAAACCTCCGGGGGGTCGGCGCGGCTCGGGGACACGGGAAACTCTGGGGGTCGCGGCGGCTCGGGGACACGGGAAACCTCCGGGGGCGTCGGCGGCTGCTCGTGGACACAGCACACCTCCGCAGTCGGCAGCGGCGGCTCGGGGACACGGGAAACCTCCGGGGGGGTCGGCGGCGGCTCGGGGACACGGAACACCTCCGCAGTCGTCGGCTCCAGCTCGGGTTCACGGAACACCTCCGTAGTCGGCTCCAGCTCAGGCTGAGGGTCTCGGAGCGGGGACTGGTCGGGTCGGGGGCATGGAACGTGGGGCCGGTACTGGTCGAGGGCATGGATCGTGGGGCCGGTACCGGGGGAATGGATCATGGGGCCGGTACCGGGGGACTGGATCGTGGCACTGGCTCGGGGGTCGGGGGCATGGATTGTGGCGCTGGCTCGGGGATCGGAGGCATGGATTGTGGCGCTTGCTCGGGGATCGGGGGCATGGATCGTGGCGCTGGCTCGGGGGCATGGATCGTGGCGCTGGCTCGGGGGTCGTGGACCTGGATCGGGGCGTCGGATCAGGGGTCATGGGCTTGGGTCGGGAGGCCGGGACGGGAATCTGCTGCGGCCCAGCGCGGGACATTTTGCGCTGCGACCGAGCGGGGTCGGAACGTCGTCGCGGCCCAGCGCTGGACATTGTGCGCTGCGGCCGAGCGTGGGGAGCATAGGTGGCCTGGAGTCGGACCGCAAGGTCCATTACCCGCTCCCAGTGGGTCTCGCCGCCGGACGACAACAAAATGGCCTCCTCCTCTGGGGACCATGTGGTGGGCGGCGGATGGTGGCCCAGATGCCTACTGAGGGCTCCAGAAGGGGAGACAGAGTAGTACAGGTACCCAGCTGGAACCCCCGGGAGGACCTTTCCCCCATTACGAGCAGCCCGTTGGAGACTCCGTGGACTGCCCATTGCCAGACGGGTTCCCCTGAACTCGTCCAGGGGAAAAAACTCTGCTGAGTCCTTTCTGGGTCGCGTCATTCTGTCACGGGATGTGGGTGGGAGGCAGGACTCAAACGCAGAGTGGTCAGGAAACACAAGGACTTTATTAGTCAAAGATCCAAAATCCAAAAGGCCAAGGGGCAAAAACACACAGGCATGAAACTACGACTATCCACAACAAGAGACACGGACATGCGTGGCGAAAGACAATGACGCGACAAGTGACACGAGACACACGGCTTTAATACACAAGGGAGGTGCAGGTGATTGGACACAGGTGGAAACTATTAAGACGATCACAGGGGATGACGGGACAAGGCAGGAAATGAAGTTACCCGGGGACAAGAGTGGCAGAAAACTACAAAATACAACAGGAAGTGAACCACACCGTGACAGCGACCCGAGAGATTCCAATGCAACTTAACCTGGATGTTTAATTACTATTCAACCATACTGCTGTTAACCACATTCTCACCAAAACACTTCTCCTTCAGTTCTCAGAAAAAGCTGCAAAGATGAAATGAGGAACCCACTGACTTTAGAGGACGGACTTCCTGTGTGAAGGACACGGAGTCCACGCTCAGCGTCTCCACGGCGTCCATGTTGAAGGAGCAGCGGACGCTTTGAGGGCTGAGAGCGAGAGAGAGAAGCACGATGGCTGAACTCAGGTGGATTATGACGTCTTCGTTGGTGATGCTGCAGGTGTTGAGCTGTACAGGTGAGTCTGCAGCTTCTGTTTAACGTCACCAGGAGTCTTCTGAAGCCTGTGAGACGCAATAAAGGAGACGCATTTACAAACACATCTGCAATTATTACAACCCTTTGTAGAAACTTTACCATCATGTTTACTGTATTTTTCGGTGTTTCTCAACAGTAACATCTGTAGAAACTTCATCCTTCACAATCAGAGATGAAGATGAAGTCACGTTTCCTTGTGAGAGTGTGATTCATGATCAGAAGAAGTGTGACGGAACTTTGTGGCTCTTTAGTACTTCAGGAAGTACAGTAACACTGTTTGAACATGGGAAGTTTAAAGAAGGAGCCAACAACAGATCAGACAGACTGAGTGTTACAGAGGAATGTTCTCTGGTTATAAAGAAGGTCAAAGATCAGGATGTTGGTCTTTACACCTGCAGACAGTTTGAATCAGGAAAAGGATCACCAGTAGGGGAAGACGTTTATCATCTATCTGTTGTTGACGGTAAGTATTCTTACTTTATTGTTGGAACAATGTGCTGAAAGTTTAAAATAACTAAAGAGGAGGAGGGTGATGAGGTGAAGTTGAAGTGCTCTGTGTGGACTGATGGACGGTGTGGACACACAGTGAAGTGGCTCAAAGAAGGAAGTCACACTGAAGTGATGACATCACACGTCTGTTCAGCCTCATTCAGCATTAAAAAAGATCATTATGAGTCACTGACATGTGAAGTGATTGATAGTCAAAGTGGAGAAAGTCATCAGCTCCCCTTCAGGCGTCCTCAGTCAGGTGAGAAGATGATGAGCTGCTTAAAGTCACATGTGGATGATCACTCAAAGGATTTGTTCATATTTCACCTCTTAAACCACATTGTTCTTTAATCATGACGTCAGATACTAATTCTTACTCTACAGTTTGATGCATTTTGTTATTTATTCATTAAGGTGCTTTTGTAACAAAGACGACTTACAAACCTCCAGTGAATGAGACACCTGAGAAGACGACGACCAAAAGTCCACCTGAAGACAAGAAACCAGTGACTGCAGGTAGAGACAGTCACAAACCTCTCAGAGGATCAGAGAGTGTTTGTTCATATTTGATCATTTTAAATCACATCACTCTTTAATCATGACGTCAGATACTTGAGTTCTTTTCTAACTGTACAGTTTGATTCACTTTGCTATTTTATTCATTCAGGTGATGATGCGACAAAGACGACAACGAAGGCAAAAGGTGACGAAGAGAACTACATTCACTGTGTTCATTTATCAGAGATCATCTATTGATCATCTATCAGAGATCATCTATTGATCATCTATCAGAGATCATCTATTGATCATCACCCCTCTGACTGTGTTTCACTCTGTTTCAGCCTTGTTGAGGACCTTCGTTGTGTGTTTGGGTTTAGCAGCACTTTTAATAAGTGTTGTTACAGTCAACATCTGGACAAGAACTAAAGGTGACAACATTCACATATGAAGCCAAAAGGTTTTGATGAACCTCCATTTTACCCTCAAAACTAAACTGGAGTCTTTTCTTGTGTTTCAGGGAAAGAAACCCGGATGGAAGAAATCATGGTGAGTTTAATCAGAGAATCGTAGCGTCAGTAAAGTGTTTGTAACATCTGTTCTCCACTTCTCACTGAGGATCCCCACAAACCCCAGCGCTTCCTCTGGAGCTGCTCTTTGTTCCTACAAACCCATCTGCTCCGTGTCCTTCAGCATCTCAGCACAGTTGTGTTGTTGTTGTTGTTTACAGCAGCTGGATGAGGTGGTTGAAGAAGACGACTCGGTGAACTACGTAAACGTTGGAGAGCCTTCTGCCTCCGTCTCACTGGACTGATGGACGACGTGAAGCCACCACAGAGTCCCTGATGTCAGACGCCATGACGCCGTTGTCCACGGCAACAGACGCTTTAAGAGGCTTCAGTGCAGAAACGCTTGTGTTTCACTTTAAACGGGACAAAGATGCTTCAGTCTTTATACAGACTGAATGTTTCCTCCTGTGAAGCAGCAGCGCCTTCTGCAACTGCTGTTTATATGTTCACACGTTCATGTTCACCTGCTACGCTTTATTC